TGACAAAACCTGATTTAAAACCCCCAAACTTATTCACCATGTACGTAGCATTGTCTTACTGCACTGAAACCTCATAGATAGGTATGTGGCAACTGGATTTTTCTTCATGTCAACATATAGTATAGTCTTCAGAAAGATCCCAAATCGCATACTTGACACTGCACAATTTCTCAGTGATGATAGGCATTTATGAGCAATATTAAACATCCAGCTTAAATAAAAAGTACCAGCGCGAATAATTTTGCCCTTGGTTTTGGCGGATTAAGTTGAAGTGCACTTCATTTATCACCAACACTTTCAACTGAATTTAAGCCTCAACAGACACATCTGGAATCACCCTGATAGAATTATTATTTTTGTTATTAGCATTGCTATCTTTTATTCACTGAAGGATGAGTCCTTGAAATTCGGCCCCAGTTCTTCAAGACCACCCAGTCAGTCAGTGTTGTTGCTATGACATGACAACTTCCTGAGCTCAGCCCACCAGACCGCATTTGTCTCAGAGGTCAATAGCACAGTTTTCAGGGCTTCTTCTAGATCAAAGAAATCAAATGTGTGTTTATATTATAAAACTTAATTAGGCAAGAAACTAAGTTCATGCTACTTCTTGATAGAACCAGACGCTTTTGTAATTAAATGCCTGTTTTCTGTTGCATAACTTCATTCTGTACAAAACCATTTTATCTAGGATCTCATGGCCAGTACCACTAGGCTGAAATAGGCTCTGTTTCAGTGATTTTCTGACAACAATTCCAGGAATAAGTTACTGACAGCTCGTAAAAAAGTTAGAAAAAGTTGCACAGCATATTGCACATTTTACATCAGTAGACTTAATAGAGAAAAAATCACATCAAAAAACTTAGAGATCTGTTCTTGACATAATCAGTGAGATAGACTTAAATGATGGAGAAAAGCCACACAAGTTCTGCAGACCAGCTGAATCCAATCACTAACTTGCAAATATGAGAGAAGCAGTGCAAGAAAAGTACTTCTTACTCTTGATGCACTCTTGGAGTAATTAATTTAGTATAAACAAGCCTATTATGTCTTTAGTATTAAACTAACAGAAGTTATTTTCAGAGTAGCATAAAAGTATCACACATGCTAGTAGTGTCAACTATACCCGCTTAAGCATTTATTTCACACATCAGAGTAATTGCTGTGCTTGTACTATGCATTCATTGATTCATACTGAATTGTAACATTTTGACACTACCAGCATCCACAGAAATATGATTTTATCTGTCTCTAAGAAATAAATAAAGGCAAATATCATACTCAGATCTACAAGAGCTTTTTAAATACAAGAGTATTAATTACCTGCTTCATTCAAGTTTCTAGAATTTTTATGTATGTCCAGTGACCAAATGAATTAAAGTGACATGAGAGTATCATCAGACAAAGCTGAGATGCAGCTGATGTTTTGCTTTTTTTGTTCTTTTAAATGATTGCTGCAGCTTGATCACATGGATAGTTCTATGAGACAGCAGTGTTTCAGCTGGGTTTGTTCACTAATTCCCAATGCGACCTAGGCAAATCAAGCTAGTCCTCCTCCAAGCAAGCATTTACTCTGCAGGGAATAGGAAGCTCAAATTTGGAATTATTTAGAACGGATAGGCAACCCGCAAAGACAAAATAATATACATCCAAAAAACGCTGAGCACTGTGCAAACTATGAAACAAGCTGACAAATCTAGTGCTTTGGTTCTACAATTAATTCTTGGTTGCAGATAATTGCTGTTTATCCTGGTGTAAACATGAGGAAAAGATTGCTGTGAAATGCTGCTGGAAATGATATTGGAGAGGAATGCTGTAAGGCATCATGAGAGCAAGGAGAGCAGCACTAGATTTGACCAACTGCAGGTGTAATGTTATCAGCCATAGCAGACGATTTCTGTATGTACACAGATGTGGAGAATGGTGATTAGCTAAAGCCTATGGCTCATTCTGTCTCTCTGATGGGCTGCCTTTTCAGAAAACATCACCTTCATAGTACGATTAGCACAGAGGGAACAGAGCAGATACTAAAGAAGAAATTGACTAATAACTACTTCTTACTATTAAGGAAAGTCTTATTTGGGAATGGAAGAACTTTTCTAGCGGCAGTAAGACAGACAGTACATCCCTTTCATCTGAGCTGTTCTTTTCCTTTGTTCACAGGGACATTACCATGCCTGAAACAAGACGTAGATTAGCATATCAAATGAATTCACTTCTTTGAAGCCTTGTTTGCTTTTACTGTAGGACAAGTCAAGATGAGCCCCAGCACCGCAGGGGCGTTTTGGCATCATGTCTGCTTTTGACACGGATTTTCCATTTTGTACAACAATCATAATCTATTGTAATGATTCCAGCGACAATTTTCTCCTATACTCACACATTTGGCCAAGCAATCGCAGCCAACGCAGACTGTGGGCTGGTAACAAGGGCTATTTGGAGACAGATGCTGCCTGGCTGGTTTATTATTCCTCTTTGGGTGTGGTAATAAAAACTTCAGTTATCTCTTTCCCTTGAAATGAAACAACAGATTCCATTCATAGGACATCACTGCATCCACCCAGTCGCACTGTGCATGGAACCATGCGTAGTACGAAGCAGAACTCCCCAAACAGATATTCTTAATTTGATTTATTTTTCCCTTCCCATGATACTCCCTGGAAACCTTTACTGAATTAGTCTTGCTTGCAATCATCTACAGCAAAACCCTCACCCATAGCAGTGTCCTGCTATCAGTGTCTCCTCTCAGCTGTCTCCAAACTACTAAGTTGCAACAGGAAGCTGAAAAGAGTGGCTCTGCTGCATTCCCACTTTAAGTACATTGGCCTTTCCAAGGCCACTCATTACTTTAAATGTTTTATTTTCAGTGGATTAATGAAGTGCTTTCCCCTGCATCAGATGGCTGTGTTGTGCCTTGGTTTTCCCACAAGCTTACTTCCATATTTATGCACCGAGTGGGCATACCAACCCTCTTGGAATTGAGCTTCACTGTAACAGGTAAAACAGGTAAAATAATTCCAAGCTTTATAAAATACACATATCTTTTAAGGAAGAAACCTGTAATTTTGACAGTTGGTAATTCAGACAAAGATAGCACTGTGATACCAGCTTTCCCAGGTGGCTTACAAAAGCTCACCCAACAGCTGAGGCAGCCAAGATGCATCTGCACTGTGCTGTCCCTGCCCCTCCCACAGGCAGTGCTGCGTCTTGCAAAGCCAGCATGAAGGGCTGCCTACTTCTCCATTGCCCCAGCTGCTATTGAGCAGGACCTGAAACTGCAGATGCAGGTGAGCTTGCACCAAGACCACCTGAAAGAGCTGAGACAGACACACTGGCTTTGTTTTGCTGAGTGCCCACAGCTGGAGCAGGGAAATCAAAGCAATTGGAGCAGGGAAATCAAAGCAATTGGAAGGACACCATCCCAAACCTACTGGAAATAAACTCACTAGAAGTTCTCACAGCTTGGCACTTTCAAGCACCTACCAAATGTTTTAGTAACAATACTATGGTACTTTCAATGGTTTTTATTGCTAAAAACCCAGTCACTAATAGGTTTCAACAGGATAAAGCACAGTAGTTAAGGAAAAATGTTACTGGAGAAGGGTAGGGAAGAAATGGACAGAAATGAATAAGCATTGGAAGATTTTTATATATAAATATGTTTTTACACTTGAAAAAAAAGCTGCTCCAAGCAAAGATGTAACAGGGTACATGAAATGCTATTTGAAAATGCTAGAGCTAAGATTCCTTTAGAAGCTGTGTGTGGTGTGATAGAATGATATTAATAGAAAGGCGATGCTTAATTTGGAGGCTCACATTCTGTTATTCTCCCTGTCTCCTCAGATTCATTCCTGCTTTGCACAGAAGTCTGCACAACAAGCAGTGTTCAAATAGGGAGGTGAGTTGAGCGAGCCAAGCCTCCATCACACAAGTCATGGGGAAGGGCTCAGAGAAACTGAGCAGATCTGTCCTGGGTGATCTGCTTCTGGATAAAGTCCCGTTCACCGGATGCATGCGTCACTTTCCACATGACATGTCTACAGCTAAGGTCACCTTACTGCCTTAACTGTATGAGGTTAATACAACATTCCAAAGAAGAGGGGAAAAAGCATATTGAAGTCTTCATGAGTGAAGAAGGCATTTGCTCATTTTCCTGAAGTTTCTACTGAGACAAAATGATCAGAAAATAGAATTTAACAGCATTTCTATTATTAAGTAGATTATATTTACAGGGCATTTAACAAAAGGAAATGGTGAGTGCTGAAGTTAGCAACCGTTCCTGGTTGTCAGGAGAATTCCAGATTTATTTTTAACTTAGGTAGAGCTGCCTTTATACAACAGTTATTACCAATTAAGGAGTTAAAGGAGTCTCCATTTTATTTTATTTTGTAATAATAAAAAGCAGTCCGACTTCTTGGGCAACTCTGGATATCTTTAAACTCTTAATCTGTAACAAGACAACGTTTTCCTTTAATAGGGGAAGGGATTTAGATATAATACAATGACTACATTTCTTCCTTTGCCTTCACTGGATTTTCTTTCCTTGCATTTAAGCCTCCTATTCCAATTTCTCAGACGTTCCTAAGGGCACACAAAGCACCATGTCTTCTAGGAGTTCACAGCAGTGACGGACACGTACCAATCCTTCTGTGGAACAAAGTCAGCACGGCTTTGGCATTTTGCTAAAGGGCATCTCAGCCCAACAAGCTGGCAGGCCTGTGCTGCCCAAGAGCCCTCCAGCACCCTTCCAGCTGCAGCTATGAACAGATTCCTCGTGTGCCCAGGCCTCCACCACACTCCCAACACCCTTTTCTGTGACTTAATCTTGGAAGACTATCAAAGGAAGCTCAGAAAGCTTCCAATTCATGTAGGCTCATAGCCAAATGCACAATTAAAATGTGACAGCCCCAGGGTCTGCCCATCCATCAGATGCATTTAAACACAGTAGAGACCAGACACTGAAAGAGAAAAGCCTGGCACACAGCAGGCTCTCAAGGGGCACAGCTAAATGGCAGACATCGCCAACAGCACATCTGCAGGAGTCCCAGCACACCACACACCGAGGTTCTTCAAAGTCCTGACACAAATCTCGGATTGTGGAAGGTAGAAATCCACACAAATGTGAAGAATGCAGAACGTGATCACTCTGAGTTGGGTCCTGGCTGAAAAATGCATTGGAAAAGACCAATGCTCCACCACTTACTGCAGAGGCAGAGAAAAGGCACACATGCAAGGAGCCATCTCCATTCCACAGTGCACATTATCAGTTACAGCAGTGGTGACAGGAGACACACAGCCCTTTGTATTTGCACAGGATTTTTGGCGATCAGCAGCACTAAAGACCCACAGTAGACTTCAGTGAAGTCAGGGCATGGAAAGGCAAGGGATTCCGAAAGATGGCTGTCCACTGCATAGGAAAGAAGAGCATCCCAGAGAGCTAAGAAAAGCCAGGAGTTTGAATAGAAGGTACGTGGGCAAAGCAGTTCGAACACTTTCGTGATCACTGTCAGACACGTGGTAGCATTAATTGCATTGAAATGAAGGGTACAACCACACTAAATAGTATTTGGGGTGTTTTAATTTATTGGCTTGAAATCACTACTTCCCTGAGTGTAGACAAGGCATTTTTATATTTTATTTATTTACTCAATGGCTTTCTTTTCATCATTTTTATGCTGAATATGGGAATGCTGCAATCTGTGCCTTTTGCTGGCTGTGCTTCAGGAGGATGTTGGGTTTGGGGGATAAAGAGGAGGAGAGAATTGTGTGCTCTCAGCTGCTCTGTGATTGCATAAACACTGCCAGCATCAGCCTCCTGGGAGAGCTGTGCTATAGGCACTATGACTCAGTCCTGCTCTGGATGAAGTCACTGTCAAGCGGAAGCAACTATTTGTTTCTAACAACATATATGGTGAACTCCAAATGCAAGTTCAAGACAACTTCAGTTACTTATCCCACAACTCTGCTATGACTTGGTTCAAGACAGATTGCAGAGGAGCTCATAGTTCAAATGAGAGCCAGAAGTAAAGCAAACCAGCTGACATCGCTGTCAGTGTGAACAAAAGAAATCCTTGTTCTCATGAACAAGAATCCAAAGATTTATTTTTCTTGCTCGCTGTTGGTGAGATTTGTCACTACTGTACAGCTATTGTTTCCAGGGATGTAAGATCACAATAAGTAAATAACGTATCAACAGCCTTTATCAAATCTTATTTCAAATAATGGATTTAAAAATAGCATTCCCTTTACCTAAGTAGTAGCACATGACCACTGAGACAGGTGTCTGTCGTTTATGCTGTGCTTTACTTAAAGGAGGCAGCCCTGCTCCTTGCATCCCAACAGCCGCATTGTCTGACACATTGAAGCCATCCCACATCATCTATAGGCAGAGTCCACGCTGTCAACACCAGAGGTGAGGAACAAAGACTATCAAAGCACTTTTTTTTAAATAATTCTTTTTGACAAAGTACCTAGAAGACAATCCTGACATAGATCACTTAAAGCACATACGCCACCGTTGGAACTGCATCTAAATCAGGACTGGCAATTCATTTAACGGCTTCAAACACTACAAATTTGTGTTGGATAACAGAATAACAAAGAGGATGAGCCCAGAACTGCAGGAGCCCCGCAGAGCTTGATGCTTGATATTAGAGGGGCTTAAGCAGCTTCTGAGACTCAGTTACTTTCTGACATTCTGGTATAGCAGCAATAAGCTGCGCCTGCCACGGAAAGTTATGAAAGTGTTTTCTCTTATAATCATCACTGAAACATCCTAGTGGGACTGAATCATGCACCAAAATATAGACCTGCTCTTGCCTGGAGATGGGCTTAAGCACATGATTCAGTCTATCCTGAATCACAATGCTGGCACTGCCTGCCCCAACTGGAGACCATCAGAAACAATTCCAGCTTCAAACAACCTGCCATCCCTCCTGACCTGAGTCCATTGGGGTGGCTGCAATCAAAGGCTTGCTGGAAACACCCGACTGCTCTATAAGGGACTCCTGCCTCCTTTGGGGTGAGCAAATTGTAAAAAAGAAAAAAGGAAATGAAGAGGTCATTTTTAAAAATGATTTTTTTTTTTTTTTTTTTTTTTTAAATATGTCCTCATCTTTAAAGAGTATTGCAAGAAGCGAGAGGAGAATCCTGAGAAAAAACTCCCCCTCCCAAAGTACAGGTTGCAATCATCTTCACTGGCAGACAATTCTTCTCACCTTATGCTTTCTCTTTGATGCAATGCTAGCAGCAACAATTTCCCACACGGGCCATTACACACCAGCTGGCAGAAGCACAGCACGATGCATCTCCCAGCTACAGAAATCTTCACTTCCACACGTTAAATCTGAAGTCACGTGGTTTTATAATAATTCTCCAAGTAAGCACGAGACATCCATCCTCAAAATCACACAGCAACCCTACAGTGATTTGTTCATCTTACACTTAATCTACTATAGAAATTCATCTCCACACTTCTAGTATTTGTATTCAAAGGATACCAAAGCCCAGCATGTGAGGGGCTATAGCACTGACCAACACACAGTCACTGCTAAAGACAAAGAGCTGAAATTTGATTTCCTTAAATTAACGGATTACCAATCATTTCCATACTGGTTCTACCTCAATGTCCCAGCTTGCTCTACGCAATCTGCTGTCCCTTGGATAAAGCAGTCTGTTTGCTCAGGTATGTGAGCTTGGAGGCAGTGGCACAGTTAGCTGGGCTGAATTTTGGTTTGTGAATATGCCATGCCCTGGCTAGGGAAGCCACAGCCAAAGTTAAGAAGTAGGCTAAAAGCACAGTTTGTTTTGTCCTATCTCTCACTTTCCCCATGCTCAGAAAATATACCTGACTGAATTCATTCTTACAAGGGACTGAAAACTGCACAGAAGCCCTGGGATGGGTGTCTGCCCTCAAATGGGTTTCTTGTCAGGAATGTCACACGCACAGCTTGGAACAGAGTTTTGGAATTGCATTTCTGCTTTGAGTACCTGGCTGCATTAAGAAACTGGCACCTCAGTAGGCAAAAATTGTTCTGTTTCTACCCTGTCCCGTCCTCCAGAATTGCTGCACTCTTGCCACGTCCCAGCAGGCACTGCAAGCACAGGGAGGGACACTCTTGTCCTGTACCTTTCTGTGCTCCCAGATCTGGGCAGCAGGGACAGCCCTCCTCTCCACAGCCTTGCTCTCAGGGAGCTGAGGAAGACCTTCCCAGCCAGGTGCATGGAGAGCAGACCCTGTACTGGCATCCACTCAGCTGTCTGATTCAGGCAACAGGCTTGATCCCATAAGACATCCCTGAGTAACAAAATCCAAAACCACAACTCAACTTCTGAAATACAGTAGCATACCACGGAGCTTCTGAACTGACAAGAAGCATTTACCTTAGTTCTCACCATTGAGTACAACTGAAAATAGAAGCCATGCTCTCCTCAGACAGGCCACAAAAGCGAACAGAAGAGCAGTCCCACTGCTTGCCATGCTGGCTGGCTGTGCCCCGCTGGGCTGGGTGAGTGCATGAGGAGTGACAGGCACAGCTCACAGGGCAGAGGCATCCCGCAGCAGCAGCAATGCGCCTTGAGAGGGCTCTTGCACAGCCTCCCCACGCCTGCCCTGAAGTCACCTGCTGTCATACCACCACTTGCACATTGCGAAGGCCTTGGTGCTCAGTACTGCTTCCTTGGCACCCAGGCACTTCCCTGACCTGGCACTGCACCTCTGCACGTGAAGCTGTGGCCAATTCCAGGTGACGCTGGTGGCAGAAGGAACGTCATGCAGAGATGTCTGAACTCTCTGGCACTTGCTTTCCCCTTCATCCAGGTGAAACAGAGGGCAGGCAAGAACCCTACGTAATACTAACCATTCAACAAGTAAGCCTCACACGAAGGAACTGTCCATTGAGTCCTATTTTGGTTATCTTATTTCATACATAAAAAAGGAAAATGTATATACATGTACACAAAAACCATTTTGGCTCTTCTCCAAGAGTCTTTTAGACAGCTTACAACTGCTGGCAGAAACTAATTCAAAGTAAGTCTAAAGAAAGTGCTTTTTTTCTTTACTTCTTTTTTTCTTTTTTTTGTAAGTGGTCTTTCTTGCATTTTGTTTCTTTATTCATTCTGTACCACTTGCTTTCCTCACTCATTTGTCATTCTGCCTTAATCAAGAAGTTATTTTGTTTAAAATGTGAGAAAGTTGAAACTTCAATTCCCCTTTCCTGACAAGAACACATGACAAGAATAAAGTACTTCTATCTGATATTTACATGCTTAGGCTCTTTTTACTTCTGTTCATACAAACGCACTCCAGGAGGAGAGTTCAGATGCGTGCAAGGTTTGATAATAAACAAATTACTGTCTGGAAGGATGCAAATGGAAAGTCCTTAGGTACTGCAGAGGTTTCCATTAGGAGATGCAGAATAACCCTAGGGTAAATCATTTGCAACAAAGATGGGAGGTCGCCAGGAATCCAAGACATAAAGCTTAAGTTTAGTTGTATTTGCTTGCACCAAAACCGTCTGCCTATGTTTCTTATTTTACATGGATTCTCAGCGAGGAAAATACACAGTGGGCTGGGAATAGGTTGGAACTTTTTTTGGCCTAAAAATGAAACTTGTGAAAAGCTGTAATAGAATAAAGCTATCCTTTGAAACTTCAGCAGCCAATGGTCACAGATGAAGGTCCTATATTACTCAATGCCAGAAAGTGGGGGCACCCCTTAAACCTTGAAAAAGGTTGGAATGGTTCCCTTTTCCAGCCTCCAGTCACTGCATGAAAAATTCAACTGCAATTAGCATTTAGTACAAAGCACTTTCTGTAGGCTGACAATAGATAGTCAGACCACAAAGTGTACATAACAAGAACAGAATCCTGTTTTAAATTGCATGGGTTTTGTTAACAATGAAAATCTCTCCACTTTTCCCCCCAGAAAATTCAGAGACATACAATTGCCATTGGTAGTGTAAATCAAGAGTAAGAAAACAGAAGTTTAGATTAAAAAACAGTGATCTAAGTTCAGGGACACGTTAAATGGAATTGCTTATTTTGCTGTTCCATTAAATAGGCAAGCTGAAAGCATCTGACATCCAGTGCTATTCTTTACGATCCCTATTCACCATCAATCATTTAGGCTGTACATCAGGCCCGCCTCAGTGAAGCGCCCATTGCTCTGAATGACTGTGATGTGCACTTTACACCAAGAGGGAAATGAAAGATGAACTATTATATTACTAAATATCTCTGGAAAAAAAAAAAAAAAAAAGGATCTTTGCATTATGTAAATTTCCATGACATTTCAATTCATCTCGGTGCTATTTGCGGTTGTCTGTAAAGTACACAACACAAGCTACTGTGCCTAAGGATTAAGTATCAAAGAGTAAAGTACCAATCGAGTCTTAACTGAGGTGATTCGACTCAAAGTAAATGGTGAAACCAAACAGCATCCTCACCTTTCACATCTGCAAGCAGAGACAAAAGTGGCTGATAATGAAAGCAATAAAAAGGCAGCTTTACAACCTTTGTCACAAGTTCTGATTAATTCCCTACCACTCCCTTTTCCCGAGTACATCTGCCTTTCGGCAGCAGAGCAGCACAGTAAGTAAAAGCTCCGAGGGCATCGTGTGCGGCTACACAGTCCTGAAAGGAATGTCTGAGTTAACGTTTTCTTACCTTTTATAGAAGCCGTGGAGAGGCTGGAGACACAGGAACTGCCAGTAATCCAAGCAGAAGGCCTTTAACTTCAGCATTTTCAAAGAACTGTACTGCAGCAAGCGGATCCTGCAGCTAGATTTTAACACCACGAGTCTTCTTTTTGTTTTGATGTGAATGACTTCAACCCAACGCAATGCACCGCTCCCCTTATTGCTGCTCACAAGCGTTTCTAAGTGCTGGCGGTGCGGCAGCCGGCGCACATGGCACAGCACCTGCACGGCACAGCACCCACTTCGATACAAAGAGGCAGCGCACAAAGGCTACGGCTCGCAGACGCTCTTTGATCCCCACTGCAGTTTATCTTCCCCAAAGTGTCCGATGCCACCGGCTAGCTGCTGTTACACACAAATCCCGCTTCTCCTTTTGGCTATTTTAGGCCACTCGGATGGCCCTCCGGACAAATAACGCGTCTGCGTTCCAGCTAAGGCTGCAAAAGGATCTTTGCAAAGCATCCTGAGAGCTTGCAGAACTTATGAGAAGACAAGCAATTATCTCAATCAACCTCACAACTGCCTGTAATCACAGCAGCGCTATGATCCCATCACACGGGAACGGCAGTCCCCCCGCTCCTTTTTTTGTTGTTGTTGTTGTTGGTCAAATAAAGCAGCACACAACTCCGCACATCAGCTCCTCCCGTGTAAACCACACCAGCCCCGTTGTCTGCCAGCACCTATGAGAACTGTGGGCTCCTTATGACGGGGAAAAAAAGACCAAAACCAGCCCCCAAACCCGAAGCGCCGACCCTCCCCCCTTGGAGACCCCCCCCCCCATCTCCCCCTCCGCACCGCGCTGCTCTCAGCGCGCAGCAGCGCCCGGCGCAGCAGCCCGGGGGGCGCGTTGCCGGGCAGCGGCAGCGCAGCGCGCCCCCAGCAGCGGGCAGCCTCGGCCCAGCGGGCACTTGGCTTGCATTTAGAATCTCCGGCCAGACGTGCTAAAAGCACTGAGCTTTTGTTCTGAAGAGACGGCTGTCCAAACTGCTGTTCTGTCTTCAGTAGAATACCCAGCCGATTCTCCCACCTTTCCGTTCCCTTAGAGCCCACAGCAGGTTCTCTCCTCGCGGGGTGCCCGGGCAGGAGCTCACGCAGGGCTTACGGACGGGAATGGCTTCAGAAGCAAAGCAAAGCACACGAGCCCTGCTGGACACTGACCAGGTCATATGCCCGTCGCTCTGCCAGAATCACCTTTCCTGAAAGTACAGTTTGGGTGAGGTTTGAAAGTCATCAATAGGAGCCACTGGGGGTACTGCTCACTATCAGTAGAGGGAAGGAATTCTACACAAATAACAACAGAACCAAGGGCAAAACCCAAGGAAACATATGAAACAGAACTAAACATCTCTTCTGTTGTGCTTTCTTCGTTTTTACCATCTTTATGCTGTTTAAAAAGAAGACAACCGAAATGCTGAGGCTTAACCAGAGTCCCACCAAGAGTGCAGGCACATCTGAGCCCCGCAGGCCCACGCAGGGCAGTAATTCGGGGCCCTTTGGGTCTGCCTTTACTCACTGTCACCATTTAGTACCACAGGCACCTTGCAGTACCCTGAAACACAGTTGTGGAAGGGTAGTTGAAATGAAACTGTAAGTTAGCTGCTTCTTTACTTTAAAGAAGCCACTGATCCCTACTCAGATATGTTACGCTTAGGCAACAACCTTCAAACATTTGCATGTCACAACTTCTTGTACTTCCCTTGAAACAGACTGTACAGGATGGGTGGTGGGAATGAATTGATCACAAAGAAACACCTAGCAGGAAAAGAAAGAAGCGCATTTCATTTGCATCTTTAAAAAAAAAAATCTTAAAAAACATTCCCTTAAAAACAACCCCCAGCCCTTGCTTGGCTTGCTGGGATTTCTTTCACACCAGCAGAACACTGTTGAAGTGATTCCCAAGAAAACAACTGCTTGCATTTAATAAGCCAGCCCGCTAACAATATAACACACACCATGAGATTTCCAGCCTGCTTTTCTTCCTGCTCTCTCATTCTCCTGGGCTTCAGTAGCTTGGCGGTTTTCCAGAAAGTGATAGCATCAAGCTAAATGTTACATTTTCATATCAAAATCTTCCAACCCAGTGTTCCATCCCTAATATAGGCCTATGCTTTAAAGGGACAGTTTTATTTGAAGGGGAGCTGAGCAAAAGCCCTTTGGGATCCTGTGCCTGCTGGCACCTCCTCAGTGTCCCTGCTGCTGAGCTCTGACTTTGGCTGAGATGGCACTTTCCCATTTTGGTGGTGTTTGATGGCAGTTACTGCTTGTAACGCACCAAGAAAATAACATGGAAACCTTATCCTCTTTTAGAACAAATGGATGGCCAGAAAATGCTTACCTTTGAGGTTTTCCCTATCTGAACATTCTTCTGTCTGAACTTCTTGAGATTCCTCAAGAAACACCCCGAAGCAGCAAGGAAGGACTTGCTCCATAACCAAAACCAGCTACTCTCAGGATCAAGAAAGAAGGGGAGAGCCATACAGAGACAGTTAACCTGATGAGACATCATCTGAAGTTTTAATGCCCGAATGATACTTCTGATAAAACACATCCTTTAACTATTCACATTGCAAAGCAATTTCTTTCTGTCCATCATACACTTTACTGGGAGAAAAAAAAAGGAATTTGTCACCTTAATTGCTTGCTTCTAAACACTGGACTTCTAGTGAGATAAAGCCATGTACCCATGAATTTTCTGACAGCAACCAGAACTGATTATACTGCTCTGCATGCAGACAAAATGCTAATTAGGGCTTTTGCAAATGAAAAGCACCATGTTCTCAACACAGTCTTCATTTTCACTTGTCTTCCATAGGAAACCAACAAAGAAAATTGAGCTTCATCTCACGCTTATGCCAGTATAAAACTAGTTCTTTCAGAAAGACGTTTACTGCTACCCTTGACTCAGAATTCCCAGGCCTAATAGGGCAGTAATTTCTGGCTGAGCTGCAGCGGTACCACAAGTGAGCAGCATGCTGGAAATGTTTGTAGTCATTTAGAGTTTAGCTAAGGAGAGGCAGCTCTGGCAGCACTGTACTGAAGACTCTGACAACTCTTTCAAAATGAGCCACTAAAATAAAAAAGGCAAGATAAAACATACAGTGTAAAGTCCCAGTTTTAGGGATGGCTGCCTCAGCAACCTGGGAGGCTGAAGTAAAGCTGTCCTCTGATGAGGGAGCATGTTGTATAAGACAAACCCACTATAAAGTCAGTGCAGGAAAATCAACTTCTCTAGCTACGTGATCTTTAATTCTTGATAAAATACGTACACTCAACTGTTATATATCTTTAGTTACTTACACCGTTTATCATGATATGACAGGAAGAATCCTGAAAATGTTTTACTTGTGCGGAAGTCTACCTGTGTTTCCGTCTACTTACAGAGTACAGAAACAGGAAGCCTGCAGCAAGAGAGCTGTTTTCCATAAGTCCTTCCTGACTCCAGGACAGGGTATGTCTGTAGGCACAGACAAGAACTTCAAGCTAATGATTCATAGGTTGTGGAGCTCTAGCATGTCATGAGAATAAGATCACGAGGTTCCCATAGTAATTCCATGACATTCATCGTGCACACCACATTGAGGAGCAAGGATTGTACGAAGTATAGTTAACATCAGATTTTGTGCAAATGAATAGGCCCTGAGGTAGCTTCTTGAAGGCCTCACTTTATAGAATATAGTGGCCTGTACAGCCCCTGTATGCTGCAGCCCTTTCTTAATAGTGGAAAACAAATACTGTTCACGTGAAAGTGAATGGGAAGGTTTCCTAGGTTGCTCCTAAAAAAAAAAAAAAAAAAAAAAAAAAAGAATAAGGGATGTTTTCATGTTAGAGGCTCTGCAAAACCAGACCTCTCTTTTAGGATCTTTGATGCATATCTGGGTGCCACATCAGCAAGAATCCCTTCGTGACTGGGGAAAATGGAAAGAGAAACATGAGCAGAGCTCTTGGGCTCTGCTGCACCATTGTAACACCCAGATGCGATGGGGATGTGTAAAGAATCAGGGAAGAAACAAAGGTTCTCCCTGCCTTCTCTTTACTCAAGAGCAAGCTCGGCTGCCTACATGTGCTCTGACAAGTTATTTTGCTTCACAGAGATCTTTGATTTATTCAGCTTCCCCACAAATTATTACTAATTGCCACTCGACATTATTCTTCATTCTTGGTTACTAAAGCTTTTGAAATTGGCAAAGTTTCACAAGAATAGTAAGATATTTGCTGTTCTGTTTCTGAATGTCTGCTCTCTAAACAGATCAACACTGGTTGATCATTCTGTTACAGAAGATGATAAACAGGCCACAGAAATGTGAACATCTGAAGTAGGTGTGATAATACGACAGAAGACTCTCCTTGGTTCAGGAATCAAAATCTTTTTAGACGCTAGCTGAAAGCTGATAGAGGACCACTCAAAATATCCGGAAAGTATACTGTGCGCAGTCTGAAAATGTTTGTGCAAAACATGGTATGCATATATAGCATGTCATTGTGTACAGGTTTTTCTCTTCTCAATGGACATAAGCCCTTTTCCACATTAGCCTTTCTTCTTTACAACACTGGACTCCTTTCTCATCTCCCAGCTGTATAACTTCCCAGCTGACAGGCAGAATACAAGTGCAGTCTACACAGATCCAGGGGAAATAAGTAATCTGTTGGGTGGGGAATCTATGCACAGCTGAAATGAAACAAAATAAGATATCCAGGTCACAATGTTCCAGAGAAGCCAAGAAGAGTGGTTTTAATTGGGCAAAACTTACCTTGCTGATGAAGGTGATGAGCATTATGCAAGAAAAGTAGCTTAGAAATTTTTTTTTGCTCGATAGGATGCTAGATGGATTCATATTAACTGATACCTTCTGTTCCACGGGTCATTCAAAGGAAAATTATTAAAAATCATTCTCTTTAATGTTGCCTAATCACAGCTTCAGAACAGGCTTATTCTTACTTGACCTACTGAAGTCAGTTAGAGTTTACACACTGTTTCTTCAATTATTTTACCCTAGGAAAGAAATCATTGTTTCTGTTGATGACATCTGGAAGATTCTTTAATGTCTCCTCTATGACTGCTTTATTTGAAAGTTTCTAAGTGTCATAACATTTTTTCACTCATAGTTAAAAAGCAACATTTTCACTCCTTCATTTGGTAACTACAAGATATTTCTTTCCTGTTCTCAAAATTCAAAAGGACTTTTCAGATGCAAATACATCTACTGCTAAATTATTTTTTATGAGGACAGTTCTGTAAAACAACATGCATTCTCAAAATCATTTATTTGCATTAGCATAAGAACACAGAAGTTTTATGGAAGTGCATGGGATAAAGAGGGAAGTCTCGAAACCTCGACTAACTTGCACTTTTTCTTTTTTTCTTTTTTTTTAGAAGGTAGAATATAGGCTAGGATAATAAACTTTTGTTTGAAATATAAAGAAGTGCAATCAAGGATTCCATACCAGTTTGCATCACTCTGCTGCAGGCTTAAGAAAAGAATGCAACCCACTGAATGCATACTAATGAGACCAAGGCCATCAAAATTAGCAGTGTGAGTGAAACTTTATGATTTATGGGGCCACGCAGCAAGGGCAGAGGCCACATTTGGTGAATAGTAAGTACTGCAGTCTCTTTTTTAGGAAAATAAGAGA